TTTGTAAATTGTGTTAAAATAAAAGTTTTATTTGTCGGGGTTTAACTGATCTATTGGTGTTTTTTTTTTTTTTTTTTTTTAATTACAGATGAAGCTACCTATATTAACCATCAGAGTTATGATATTCTGTTCAAGCCTTGAAAACTAGTAGTGGGCTGGATAAGCTGATGATGATGATGATGTTGACGAATGTATTACGTCACTAGATGATGTGGCAAGGTAATTCGTTCGTGAAATATCGGGTCCTTAGAAAAAAAGCCAATCAAAGATTGCTATGGTTTTTGAAACATATGTCTTAGCAATTAACAATAATGCGACGTAAGTTTTCGTAGTCAAACCAATCTTTGATTATTTTTTTTTTTTGAAGACCCGAGGTATACAAAAAAGAAGATTGAAATAAACCACTTATTGAATCACTCAATAATGCAAGATACACTTTCTTGTCTTAATCTATGCTCTTCATTAAATTATAAGTTGTGAAATTTTAAATCCTTTGTGCGGCAGCAAAAAGTTCAACTCACTATGAACGTGCAACCAGATATAAAAGAGGCAATTCGATTGGTTCGAATGGCTTTGTTCGAAGCATAATGCAATCCGCAAAATTACTTACAGTTGCCAGATTGTTTAAATGTAGTCAATATTCAATTGAATTTTGGAAGCAATTTGAAACTGAAATTAGATTTGAATTTGCTGTATTGTTCGAAAGTTTTAAAAAACTGTTTATAATTATTTGAGCATTAAATTTTTTTCAAAAAGCTCTTATGTCAATCAGATCCATATTCATCTAACGGTTTAGTTGATGTTAATTTATTGTCGCTTATTTGTGATGATAACGGTTCTTCTAGAAAAACGTAAAAAGCTGGCCATGATTTTTTAAACGTACGTCTCAGCAATATTTTCCTATAATTTCGTAATGTCATTGTCGATTTGTCGATTGTCGATTGACTGATGTTAGAAACAAAAACAAATAAAGTCCATAATAACCGACGGGACGTACGTTTTTGTTATCAATGCAGTCTTTGTTTTTGTTATAGTTTTTTTTAAGACCCGATATCGTAATAGAAAATTATGTTTTCATTGGACAAAGTATGAGATTACTGGACAAGAGTATATAAATTATCTGGAATAAAGCAATAGTTCATAATTTATGTTTTCTAATTAAAAAATATCTATATTTGGGAAATTAATATATAAATTAAACACATATGTCCAATTTGCGAAACTGCTTTAAGATGGGACATGCTTTATGCACAATGTGACTTTGCGAATGGATCTCTTGGTTGCTTCGAGTATTTGGACCGAGATGGTTACTTGTTTGTGATATTTTTCATGGTCGGAGTAACCAAGGTTGCAACAACTGTCTTTACTCCGGGAGTTTTACGCTTTGAAACACTAGAACAATAGTGAAACCGCAGAATGTAACTCCAGATAGGATTGCCATGAACTAATGTTTCACATTAATTATAAATACACAGTATATTCATTATTATTAATGTACTCCTGTGAAAACAATCATCTATTCTTGGGAATTTCACATTTGGAACTGAAGGCAAGGCATGCAGCTGGTTGCGCTACACATGAGGCAAGACTCTGCCTTTGCTGACTTGGCGATTGAGACTTAGATTGAAAATGATGACCATGATTTCAAAAAAAAAGTATTCCCCAAATATATCAATCTCTTACTGGCAATGACAATGTGGTAGGTAGGTACTTTCTTATTCCAAGTTTTCCACGCGGATATATCAAGGACGAAGGACCAACTTACCGATCTATTGTGTTCCTTCGTTCACTTAAAATAAACCGATTTGTTCCCTCATTTTTCCATTAATTAGAGGTATTTTTCGAAGGCATGCTATGCGTGTTCAGCAGATACAATTGAACTAACTGAGGTTGCGGCGTTGCCAAACTTCAATAAGCCGTACATTGTTGTCGGTTGTAACACTGTCATATGCCCACCCAGTAGTACCTACGTACTAAATATTAATTTGGTTTCTTGAAGTACCTAACCGATTTTTTAAGCATTTAGGGAAAAATATTGCAGATTGCGGTAGTTCTTCACATGACCAGGCTAAGCTTTAAGCTTCAAATTGAAGTCTGTCTTTTAATTTGGACACGCTTTTTCTATTTTCTTCCGAGTGACTCCAATATCACCTTTTTCTTTTAATTATTCAAAATTTATTTAAAGCTTATTTCACTACCTACGTGAACAAGCCCATTGCTTAGCCTTTTCTAACTACAAGTTGAACAAGTATGAAAGGTTTTTCTAAATTTTTTTAAATTCTTCGAGCACGGAATAATCAATCAACCATTTCTATTTATCCGCATTACAGTCGCGTGTTGGAATGAGCAAAACATACAGCTAGCTTGCTTTTGTTGAGCTTCTCATTTAACGGTCCAAACCAATTTTGATTCGACTTTAACCTTTCCCTAATCTTCAATCGACAGATTTAATCCGTTGGTGTAGCACAAAGGTCCCAAAATTACGTTTATAATTCAATGGACTGTTTTACGATATAATAAATGCCACAATTGACGCAATCAGCCCGGAGTCAATTTATAGTTTGCTTAGCTATCCCAAAGCTGAATAATTAAATACAGATGTACGACCAGCAATAGAAGCTCTGTCGCAGGAATTATTGCCAAGAGGATTGATCACCAACAATATTTTACTCGAAGAATTGCATTAAAAGGTAAAACATGAAATAAAATAATTTACAGCCAAACGTTTGTTTTATTATAGGCGACAGAAAAAAAAAAAACTCCATGCTCTAAGCTCCTAAATTGTAACTCAACCTTGAAGGTGGTGTTAAGTTTGCCCTTATGACCCTCCATCAATCTCATAAATTTCATTTCGAGAAGTCCACCAATAGATACCTAAGGCGTACGACCCTAAGCGGCTGAAAATGGATAGCCTGCGTTTGTCACCCAACTTCAAGGGTGGCATCAAGTACCTCTGTTCACCCTCTACGTATCCTGGAAGTTTCAATTTAAAATTCTAGTTATTAAAAAAGTTAGACATCGACATCGATTGTGTGCACATTCCTAATCTTGATTATTTTTACGTAACTTTGCGTTGTGTTTGTTTTATTGAAATTCGATAATTTTTTGTTTATTTCAGATCGATTTTCATTACAATAGTTGCAAAAATATTTATTGAAATAACCAGGAGGAGTCAATCGAAGAACTAGCTTGACAGGAGCGACCCCGTTCCTGAAACAATTAGAAGCTGTAAACGAAGATATCTTGTAGTATACCGGCTGCCCACGAGATTACTTTCCAGCTGCCATTTTTTTATTTGTTTATCGATATCAACGAAACTTGATAGGGTCGATATGCATCTGACAAGCTTTCCCGACTTCCTCTTTCACCGAAAATGACGCAAAATTTTGATTTTCGGATGGTACACCCTGTTTATTTTTTGTATTTTGGATTCTACAGATCATTCTACGTCCTAATGTACCACTGTTGACTCGAGTTTTGTCCAAATTTTATTTTTTCAACTAGAGTGCCATGATCATCCTGAAATCACTCTACATAATAGTCGCCGCAACAGGTATTCGAGATTCCTGCAAAGAATGATTTCTTTGTCGGCGATGCCCGGATAAAAAAAAACCGCAGCAAAAACTCTACCTACAGATGAGGGTTGAGAACAAATTTAGTCCAAGAGCATCAATTAAATTCGTTTTGCATATAGTACTATTGTATTGTTCTGGATCGGACTAATAATATATATCTAATATATTCTTGTACTCAAGCGGTTCTCGACACACGCTCTGACTAGATGCAGGCCGGCTGATAATATAAACATACTTTTTTGTACGAATCTCGAATATCTCTGGCGGATACTATACTTTACTTACTTTCAGGAAAATACATACTCAATTTTATCTTTGTAAACTTTTTTGATTGAATGCTGTAAACTTCATCATTTTAGTATTTTTGCCCTAGCTCAAAAACTGAAATAGAAACATATCACTTTCATAACAATTATTAAATGCAGTACCTATTTTAAAGTGAATCCAATGATGACATTTTTCTTTATTTTCGTTTAAATATTTTTGTTTCATTATTTTAGGATGATCATGGCACTCTACTTGAAAAATTAAAATTTAACTTGAAAATAAAATTTGGACAAAACTCGATTTAAAAGTGGTGTATTAGGACGTAAAACTATCTGTAGAATCCGAATAACAAGCAATATAGAGGTTGTGCCATTTGAAAACCCAAAATTTCCGGTGAAACCGGAAGTCGGCAAAAGCTCGTCATAGATGCATGAAAATGGCGTTTCGTTAGAATATCATCCCTACCAAGTTTCGTTGATATCGATAAACAAATAAAAAACTGGCACCAGGAAAGTAGGTAATCCTGGTGGGCACCCAGTATAGAGTGATTCAAAAATAATCAAAAACTGGTTAACGGGTTAACCAAAACTATCCTCCCACCTGAAACATGTTTTTTCGAGAGCAAACTGGAGAATTTTCAGGTCAGAAATCGAAAATACTAATATGTATATTCAAAGTACCTATTCTCAATGTTTTGGTATCTGCAAGATATAAATTCCTTGTAAAAGACCCTTCTAGCCCTTTTACTCAAAATGAAGCAATAAATCAAAAAAATCCAGCTCGAGGCATTTTTCTCGACTCGCTTTTTGGCTCTGAAAGTGGAAAATAGCTTTAGGTCTTCAGACCTTTCAAAGTGTCTAGAGGCAACAATCAACAACTCACAGAGTCAAATTGAACTATTTTATGGAAAAATATAGTGTTTCTGATTTATGCAGAAAGCGACTTTTTCGTACTTAACTCGTTGAACAACTCCTGCTAAGTATCACTTTCCCTACACGCTTATTAGAAAAATAAATATTCTCAATTATTTGTGTAATATTCAATTATATTTTGTTGCTACGCTACACAGTATAATAAAATATAAAATATCAAACTAAAATTTAAAAAAAAAAACATGTGACACTGTAACAGCCTGTGACACTGTAACAGCCTCAGACGCTACGGTCTCGGATTCGGATTACTGCTTTCCATGGAATTGGCCCGTTCAGGTTCATCACTGGACTGTTCAGGTTCATCACTGGACTGTTCAGGTTCACCACTGGACAATTCAGATTCACCACTGGACTGTTCGATGATACTTTCACTCTCATTTTCCTCCTCTTGGCTGTTATAAACAGGCAGACCAAAAAATGGCATTTGAAGACGAGGGTTGAATGGCATTTGAAGGGGAGGGTTAAATGGCATTTGAAAGCAAGGGTAACCTGGCATTGTCATATGCGGTATCATCATTGGTGGAGGATGAGGAAAGATTTGCGGGTAGAAATCCGGAGACGGTTCCATAGGATTTGTAGGACCTAACTGACCATAAGCCTTTAAACAGCATATTTCAAATAAAAGAAAAATTAGTATTGTCTATTTTACCTCAATAACCTCCACAAAAACATGTTCCATCAATGGCACTACCGGCTCTGTTGGAGACCTATATAGCAGAATATTTATTTAAAAATAATACAATCTAGCCAGTGAAACACTCTACAGCAAATTGTTAACTGTAGTTTATGCTTCCTTCTTTCCTAGTAACATACCTGGGCTTCTACTTCTGCTTCTACTGCTGCTTCTAGACCTAGACAGTTGCCTTTGCTGCCTCCAAGCCAAGTCTGGATGACCAGGACGATATTCTCCAGGCCTCAATGGAGTTAGAGACCTTGTTTCATGCTCATGGGATTCACAAGGTTTTTGGCTGGGTCTTCTAGTTCTAGATCTAGATCTTCCTGATTTTTCACGTGAATCATCTGTGTGTCTTTTTCTGTCTGGACTTATGGATCTGTCGCTGCTCCTACTTTTTCTTCTAGAACTATGAGACTTTTCTTTAAAAAAATAAATTGAATTTCTTATAAACTCTTACCAACTTCTGCTTCTATCCCTATCTCTCTCCTTACTTCTTTTATAGTTATCTTCACTTCTGCTATGTCTGTTTTCATTGTGGCTTCCGCTTCTACTTCTTTAATTAGTAGCCGATCTAGACCTCCTTTGGTCTTTATCGCGCGTAAAAACTTTTCTGTCATCACAAAAGTCTTGATTGACCTTAATGTTGCCGCTGAAAATCGGTACTCTGGGCGGCGCACTTCCTCTAACGTGAACAAATGATCTTATCTGTTTAAAGTCTTCTATGCCTCTCTCCAATGGTAACGCAGGTCCATTTGTTATCAAGCCAGATCTTTTAACTGCAACATGCAATTTGTAGAGATCTCTTATGTTTAGCTTCCTTAATAAACTCTTTCTAGAGACGTCATCTGGAGACCTATAAATGTGCCACAGTATATATGTGTTTTCAATGCTTATTTAACAGTTTTCATAGGATTATTGCATATGAGGAAAAACAATTTTGAAAATGGCATGCTATACCATAGCACAAAATCTGACGGCGGCAACCAGTAGGAAAAATGAGACGAAAACTCTAAAAATTAGAAAAAGCTAGTAACAGTTCAAAGCATAGACTACGTTTCTTATACAAAAGAAACAATGCGCCAAATTAAAAATCGAATGGCTACTAATAACTTGGAAAAATATGAAGCAACCCAAAAGCAAAACAGTGAGTAGTTTCAACGAGGCTCCACAGAAGAAGATTAAGGAAGCTCTTGTTTTTAATCACTGGGTATTCTAAGAGCACTGGATTAGACTGAAGAGTTAGAAGAAGTAGATTTTTCAGACATTGTCATTCCGAAAGTAGTTGTCAAAAGAAATTGCCGAATCCAACTAAAGAAAATTGCATCCTGGAAGCACCCTCTCATAGATATAGGTCTAAATGTTTTGTAAAAAAAAGGATTAAAATGCATCCAAATGTGCGGTAATTCCAAACATGAAATCAACCAAATATTGCAGGAACATGACGACCGTAAAACTATTTTGCCTACCAGAATATTTGAAGTCAGCTGGTCAATTAGGTATCAACAATTATTTCTTACACAGTGAAAAGGGATCTAATTTAAATAAACTCAAGGATAAAATCAAAAAAAATCAGGCGATTTTAATATTACCTTTATATTTAGTGAAAGACAACAAAGTAAGATCTGAATTTGTGTTCTTTCAACCTGGTACAAACAATGACAGAAAATACGCGAAATACAGTAATGTCATCAGGTAGGTAGTTAGGTTAGGTTAGGGTCATGGAATATTTTAATTTAGATCACAAGACGCATAATATTATCTTTGAAAGAACATTGGTAATGATCCCGGGTGATAGTGCAAGTGGAATTTCTTCCCAGGAAAACAGATAATTTTTTGCGTTGTATGAGAAATTAAAACTGGGAAAATGTATATAGTATAAATAAGTAGTAATAAATGTACCTAAACAGTCAATAACATATTTTAATAATAAACAATGACAAATAATATAAAGACCTTGAGAAAGACATGTTATACGATTATCTTAGAATACTTATAATACATAGTCCGTATGAATAGGTGCGGTCGTACACCGATGAAACATCAAACATGCAACGTGCGACATGGAGTAAATACCGCAGACAGACTTGTGCTGCATATATCCATTGTAAAAATGAACAATGTCTCGGGATCATCGCACAATAGTGCAGTACACGCGATTTCTGCACCGGTGTGCAATGACCCCTAAACATTGCACGTTTCTACAATGGATCTATGCAGCACAAGTCTGTCTGCGGTGTTTACTCCATGTCGCACGTTGCATGTTTGATGTTTTATTGATGTACGACCGCACTAAAGTGTAGCAAATGCTTTTACTCTTTTTGCTGCATTACAGCTGCATATATTTATCTCAAGAAACTTAAGCAAAAGCATTTGCTTCTGTTTTATTCTATGAGCCATTATACCACATATTGGGTAAAAATGTAACATTCCAAAAAATAATCAGACGATTCCTTTAAAGTTTCTCATATCCCAAGAAGTTTGCAAAATGGCAGGTGAAAATACGAATAAGCATACTGATGGGGTTGATGAAATGCCAACTAGTTCGATAAACTGCTGTGTGGAGAAACTGAAAATGTTGGGCTTCTTACCTAACAGCCTATTCAAATTTGGCATAAAGGTACCAGTCAGATAAAAGCTTCTCTAATCAAACTTTTGTATAAAAAGGAAAATCTCCAAGATATTGATAAAACCTTCTAGTCAACCATCCAAGGACCTTTTTTTTCAGTTATACATGTAAACCCCATACTTTGTGAGTGGCTTGCTTACATCAAGTCCTACAACTTTTCCTCTACGACTTTTCTCGGAAATGGCACGTATGCGCGCAGGCGACTCGCAAACATGTCGATCTGACGTAGCTATGTTTCCTGATACATGTAGGTAAATCTAATTTTACGAATATTGTTTGATTTTTATGTCTAAATCACGGAAATCAATTTGGCCGACAAAAATAATGGCAAATTGGGGGAGTCCGATACCCCCAAAATGTCGTTCTGACGTGGTTATGTTTCTTGATACATGAAAATCTAATTTCACGAATAATGTTTGATTTTTATTTCTAAATCACGAAAATCAACTTGGCCGACAAAAATAATGGCAAATTGGGGGAGTCCGATACCCCTAAAATGTTTGCGAGTCGCCTGCGCGCATATGTGCCATTTCCGAGAAAAGTCGTAGAGGAAAAGTTGTAGGACTTGATGTAAGCAAGCCACTCACAAAGTATGGGGTTTACATGTGAACTGAAAAAAAAGGTCCTTGGATGGTTGACTATTCTGCCTGGATTTTCCACAATTTTCCAGCTAGCAATGTGTAGGTAACAAAATTGTAAAATTACTGAATCACTGTAACTTGATATATAAAAATCAACATGGCTTTAAACCTACGGAGAAATCGACGTAGACGGCAATATATTAGTTTGTACTGTCACCTGTAAATCACTTTGAAAGCGGTAAGGCAGAGCTTGGAATATTTTTACACCTTTTATAAGCCAATGACTGTCTGGAAAGGGACATATCATTGGAAACAATAGCAAGATAAAAATATCGAATAGGCGGTCAAGCCTTGAATTGGGTAAGGTCATAAGTGCAAGACAGAAAACAACTTGTAGGGTAGGGATAAATAAAAATGGCCAACTTAGTGAATGAAAAAATATTTCAAATAACTACTTATGGGGTAGCATAATGGGGACAATTATTCTGTATTCTCTTACCTATATATAAACCTTGACAAACCAGCATCAATTTTATGCTGATGACAGTGACACAAACTTAAGTACGGAGAGGAAATGAAAACTCTTCCCAACTTGCGGCTAATAGGAAGTATTTAACACCTGATTTAACATTAAAACTTGCTCAACAAAATTAGGTTAATAACTATTAAACTGAGACAAATTCAGAACTATTCAAAAAAAAGCAATAAAAAAAAAGATACATATTAAAGGTAGGTATCTGAAAACACCAAGTATTTGAAAGTTTAAGTATGCTGACAAAAATCTTGATAGCTCCTTTCACATAGTTAAATTGCTGAAAAAAGTTGGGTTAAATGGAGTACGAGTAACAGGAGGGTATATGAGTACAAAGTCATTGTAGTTACTTTGCCAACTTTGAGTCTAGAACGAGGTCTAGAGACTGAAACATGGCATTATGTTTTGGGATTGAGACAGTAGGGTTCAAAATATATTTGTTGATGATATTGGAATTTATTTAAGTACTTGATTCATAAGAAATTCTCGACAAAATAATATTTTTACCCTCTGGTGTAGATAATCTCAATACTCGTGTCAATACAAAAAATAAAATAGGTACCTATAATAGCTATTTGCAAATTAAGAGCGCAAAGTGGTACTTTACCCATCGAAAGAATAGATATTGTTATATTTTGGGCGAGATCTTGAGATTGGCAAAGGCCCTTTTCGCTCGTAATCCATAAATGATTTTTTTTACAATTGCATTTCATGAAAAATAATAAAAACAAAAATAAAAAAACAGTTTATTTCTTCCATATTCCATAGGGGCCGGATTAGGAACATCCTATACGTATAAGTTTCCGGTGTCAAAGGCAAACTCGAACCGTAGATGCACCGTATCGAACGAAAAATTGATTACAAACACACTTCGTATTCGTTTACGATTCACTTGGGCGAATCCAACTGCTTTGCTGTCAATAACGTTAATAATGTCAGGTTTGATGTCACATTGTCTAATTCCTCTGGCGCCAGTTAGGGTGATCATTTGTAGTTGCTCTTCCTGCTCGAAAAATCAGGAAGTTCTGCTAGGAGCTGCTATTTATGAGCCTATATTTGGGACAAGTGAACGCCGATCTGCTGCTGAGATCTTGAAGCAAGAAAAGCAGTACAAATGAACACCTTAAGTGTGTCTGATAGCTAGCCCGACTATTCCATCTAAAGTTTCGTATAGACTTGAAAATTACGCCGAACAAAAAACATAACAACGAACCGAACGACGATCGAAATACTAATTTGGACAAGGCTACAGCTTGGTTCAGACTTGAACATTACGCCGAATAAAAAACGGAACAACGAATCGAAAGGCAATCGAAACTCTAATTTGGTTGGACGCGTATGCAAACCGGTTCGCAAATTCTGGCCGTTTGCCGAACGGTTTGCAGCGCTCGCTTTCATTACTTGTCGTTTTTTTCTCCGACATCAATGCGTTCGCAGGATTGGACGGGTCAGAAAAAAAGGAATTACCTACTGAAAACAGTTGTGGAAACAGCACGGACGTCATTTGTGGTAGGGATCGTCAAAATCAAAAAATGCTGTTTGCCGTTTTGTTTGATGTTCGATTCGTGTAACATTCAAGTCTGTATGAAGCTTTATAATGATGATACGATTGAGGTCACTAAATTCGTCGGAAACTTTTGCCTAGATAGGTAGTGACAAGTCGATGTCAAAATTTTTCAAAACGAGTCATATGGCGTACGTGTACTTGGAAATTAAAAACATAATTAAATTTGCATTTTCGACGTCTATGATATTATCAAATTTGACACTATTGTCTTGTTTTAAAAAATTATCACATCGATTTGTCGCTACCTATCTAGGCAAAAATTGCCGAAGGATTTAGTGACTTTAGATACGATACCTGATACATACCTACATAATAAAAATCAAGGAACGATGAACGATTGAACGATAAAAACCATAGATAAAAACACATGAAAAACAAAACAAAGCGAAACGCAAACCAATACACAATGTGATAACAAGAAAAATAAAAAAAAAACTAAAACAAGTGCGTGTTCAAGAAGGACGAAAAACGATTCCGTCATTTCCGTTAACAGGTGTTATCGGCAGCTACGGTAGGTGGTTCTCGAGTTGTCTCACTTCGGGTACGTTCGTAGAAAAAAGATGGAAGATTCGAATCGTATCGGACGTTCCTAATCTAATTCGGCCCCTGGTTCTAACCAGTTTTTTTTTTTTAATCTAAATATTCAGTGAGTAATAGCAATGGGTATTTCAGAATGACTCATTTTTCATTGAAATGAAAAATTTTCCACCTGTTGTTGGCATCTGTATCAATGTTTTATTGAGGTATACTGGATTGCCGAATTACAAGTGAGTGAGTACTTTGCCGGTTTACAGCGGCAAAATGAACGTCATCAGGAAACGCCTTCTTTGTGATCACAAATCTAAGCAACAAAGCCTATTTTTTAGGGCGACTGTAGGAAAAATTATTTTAAAATATATTTGTGAGTCCACAGCAGACGATATCATGCAAAATTTAAAGTGATCCAACTCTCACAACAATAATAAGGTTGACAATACAGCAAAAATATACTTATTGCTAATTTTCAAAACAGGAACTGCGATTAATCAATAATGTTAAGAAGCATTAGTCATTAGATGATATCCGTACATATAACTATTGGGCCTTAAAAAATATTACTCGTTTAGAAAGGCTATTTTTTCCTTAACCCTGCAGTGGTGGCGCCCAGTCTCTCATGCCCGAGCTTCATAATCAATTTTATACAAAGTGTGAGGATTAATTTGCGGTCTTCGCCGTTCCAGTACCTTCCTATAATGTAGTTTACCAGCGAACGTGTTATGTGCTAAATATTTTATTGAGCGGCTTGGTAATAGTTTCGGGTCTGGTGGACTTGGCGCCACTGCTGGCGATTTGCCGATGGTGGTGTTTCCGAATATTTCCACCTCCGGTAAGTCTGTTGTAAGTTCAGTTTATATGTACAATTATTGTATTTCTTATGAATTTGTACAATTATGAGTTATGGAAAAGATTAACCTCGAGTGCTTATGTTATTGGAGGAAGTAGAGACTGATACCGAGGGAAATTTTGATGATGAGGAGTCTGAAGCAGAGGAAGACAATATTGAGGAACGATCGTGGGAGCAAGATGGTGAAGATAAACCAGAAGCGGAACCAAGTGCATAAATTCCTCGATTTCCTACTTTCATTGGAAAGGATTGTTCTGTCTGAAAAAAAAAACATGGTCAAAATCGAAAACTTTATTTGTTTATCACATGCTGTTTTTATGTGTCTCATTTTTAAGCTAATACCCTAATTTTATACGAAATATGTTTTGTAAATTATACCATTATTATACTAAAGAAAAAAAAAGTAGTTTAGGAGTCTCTTTCAAGTTTTCACTGATATATTTTAATTTCTCTTTTTTATGTTGTTTTATTGTTTACTGTTTATGGACCTTTTGTAGTTCTGTCAATTTTTAGCACTCCTAAACAAAAATTATTTTCACATTTAACAATAAAATAGAAGCAAACACTCTCTAAAATGAAAAATAATGGTCCCTGTCTCAATATTTCATCTGTTTCCAATATTCCATGATTTTTTAAGAATATGGGTCTCTCAGACTTGGCGCCACTACTATTGTTAAAAAAGAGGCGCCACCACTGTAGGGTTAATAAGCAAATTAGGTCCTGTCGGTTGGAACATTATAGGGGGTTATCAGGTTAGCAAGTTTACCTATTTACCTTGATCGTTTTCTTCCAGGCTGCATATTGGCACTCATTTTAAACATTCACACGTATTATATACGGTAATTGTAATGATACAAATTGTTTAAATCTATGTCACAATTAATCTGTTCTGTTCAGAAAATGAACAATGATACGCCTATAACGAGAAACTCTAGAAGACCCGTCTGCCGCGCCGGCCGGCCGGCGAAAATATAAACCCGCGTGATGGCGCTAGTGTCCTAGTAAATTCAGTCGTTTCTGCGATTAAATTAATTTGAGGCACCAAATGCACGCGTATTTGCTAGGCTGCGTTGCCAAGTTGTCTTTTGTATAACAAATTAAATGCCTGTGTTTTATATAGGTACTTATTATACATATACCTACCATTGACTAGGAATATTATTATTAGTAAAAACAAAATAATAAATAGGTAAATAGTTATGTATTTTTGTGGGTAGTAATTTTCTGTTTCTAATAAATCTATACTTAGGTTTAAAACACAATTTTTTTTTCTGTCTGTCTGTCTGTCTGTGTGTCTACCTATGTCCGTTATAGACTTTGAAACTATTGGACCGATATGCCTCAAACCAGTTTAATGTTTAATATGAAAGGCAATAATGAGGAGAAGGTTTTAGACCACTAATGACAGGTGTCAACTGTCAAACTGTGACAGTTGCAGATTTTGAACCATTTCTTCACAACAGATTTTGCTGAAATTTAGCATACACTTCAAGTTCAGGTGATAATACATTTTAGACCACTAATGACAGGTGTCAACTGTCAAATGTGACCGGTGCAGATTTTTGAACCATTTCTTTGCAACAGATTTTGCTGAAATTTTGCATAGGTACACTTTAAGTTCGGATGATAATACAATTTGGAATACTCAACGGCTGTCAAAATATGACAAAAGGGCGTCATATGCCTACCCGGTATTCAGAATCGGAAACGCCATAAGATGTTGAAAAAAACTGACAGATGTCAACTGTCAAATGTGACAGGTGGAGAGGTGGGCAGGTTGTCAGGACTACCCCCGTCTTTTAAAATTTGTTTTTTTCGATAAATAGACAAATTTCAAAAATAAATAACCCATAATTTTGCACACCGATTTTCAAATTTTGCACACTCTTCTGGGGAAAGTTATGAGGTGTGATTAATGTGCACTTTTTTCCCCGTTTATCTGAAACTTGAAAAATTCTTATGCTACTCGCTTCGGCTAATTTTGCACAATTTTGCACACCTTTTTTTTTAAATTTTACACATTCCTCTGTGAGTTAAATGTTGTATTAAAGATGTGCACTTATTGAAGAACTCTTGCTACTGGGTTCACTCAATTTTGCACGCCTATTTTCAACCCGAATTGAGTAACATAAGAATTTTTCATTTTCTCAAAAAACCGGCGGGAAAGTGCACGTTTTTGATACCTTATAACTTTTCCCAGAAGGGTGTGTGCAAAATTTGAAAATAGGTGTGCAGAGTTGTGCAAAATTAGGTGAACCTAGTAGCATAAGGGTTTTTCAACTTTTTTAAAAACGAGGGGGGACACAAGCATAGGATCTTTCAATTTTTCGACTAAAGGGGGGGAAAGTGCAAATTTTTAATGCCTTATAACTTTCCCTAGAGGAGTGGGCAAGATTTGGAAATACGTGTGCAAAATTGTGCAAAATTAGGTGAACCAAGAGCAGAAGAATTTTTCAATTTGGGTGAAAATTTAAATTTTTGATACTTTTTACCTTTCCCCAGAAACGTGCGCAGAATTGTGCAAAATTAGCCAAAGTGAGTAGCATAAGATTTTTCAATTTTTCGATAAACGGCGGGGATAGTGCAAATTTTTAATACCTCATAACTTTCCCCAGAAAAGTCTGCAAATAAATTTGAAAATAGGCATGCGAAATTGTGCAAATTTAGCTGAACCGAGTAGCATAAGAATGTTTCAAGTTTTAGACACACAAGGAGGAACGGTCAAGTTTGCCCCCAATTTAAAAAACTGCTCTAGTTTTCGTTGTGTTATGTGGGTGTGCAATATTTTAGTCATCGTGTGCAAAATTATGATTTATTGATTTTTGAAATTTGTTTAATACGGGCGGAAACTTGACCGACCCCAAAGTTTACTTGTTGGTAAATAAACCGATCTACTGGAAAATAAATAAATAATTCATAAGTGGCAAATTTGCCAAATATGTATATCGAAAAAACCCAAAGAAAATGATAGAATAGCATCCATCTAGGAATGATATTCTTTGGCAAACTATACAATTTGTTAAAAAATATATGTTATATCATAAATATGTTAACTTCCGAATTCCTCTTGGCACGCGTCTGTCTCCCCATGCATGCAAAGCAAATAGCAAATATTTTATTCTAATAACATCTAACACGACGGACGCTGGCTAGTCGCCGAACCAACAGCACTGACAATTCGGCAACAATGGCCAATAGACTCCAGCCGGCGTCCGCTCGGGCTAAAGTCGGCGTCCATCGAAGTCTCAAAAATCAGAATACGGACGAGACTTCTATTGGAGAAACTAGAAATCTTGTGTGTTGTTTGATAATAAATTAATAAAATACATGACATGATGACGGACGACAAATTATTTGCAAGGCCGCGTTCGATAACTTGTTGCTCGGTATTAAAACCTACCTGATCAAATCAAATCGAAATAAGAAAAGGAAAAAGTTTCATTGTTAGAGGAAATACTTGAAGGTAGACTATGCTTATAGTGGAGTGAAATCACAATGAAATTATGGCTTTGAGTGATGCGGAGGTATAACCAGATGAAACCTATACCATTTTGTAGAGGACAATTTGGAGCATAGGAAATGGGAATGTACAACTTTTTTTAATAGGACCGGACTTTGGAATCGGCCCTTAAACGTGACTGAGATCGAATTTGAAAAACTACATTTTTCTCAACATCACCCGTTGTATTACTTTAAGCATAAAATCTCAAATTCTGTTTTTTTGCACACATAGGTACTTGAAATATGAGCCCTTCTAATGACAATTCAGAAATTTCGAAAAGGTTCAAAGTTTTTTTTTTTTTTAAAGCTAGGAATATAGAATTATCAAAATCATGTGGCGAGCAATGCGAATTATTGAAAATTTCTATACATACAGCGTGTCAATTTGAAAACTTTCAATGCGAATATCTCTGAAAGTAAAGAAGTTGGAAAAACGTAATTTGGTACAAATTTTTTATAGGTAGGGGGAACTACAACCATTATATTGACAAATTGACACCTTGTATATATCGAATCAAATGTTGTTAGAACATTGACGATTTAAAAAAAAAAAAAAAGTTGCTAACTTTAACGGTTATAGAAATATAATTTTTTTTTTCCGGGAGCCTTGAAATGCGCTCTGATGCTGAAAGCGGCTAGCGGCTACCATTCTGGAAATCATCTGCGTTAGCGCTACATCTAGGAAAAAAATAAAAAAAATCTATGGATATAAACTAAGTTGTTAAATCGTCAATATGGCGGTCAATACTGATGTCACGCAATTTACCAATGAGTTGAATAAACTAACAAAAGATGAGTTTCCTAACCCTGATACTACTTCTTTTGGAATCATGTGAGATAAACGACAATAATAGCGAACTTGGTACCTATACAATAAAATAATCATGGCTTGCGATTTTTTGTAGTGAAGGTAAATAATAAGAACTTGCTGAATCCTTATTGAGACCAAATATTGCCAACGCACGACAATTTACTGATACACATGACCATGGTGGATCGAAAAATATGTATGCCTCACGTATATTGTCGAAATTTATCAAATTTAATTAAAAAAAATAATAATAATAAAAAATAAAAAAAATTATAATCTGAGAAATTTGATTTAACTTCGTACTTAAAACGTTACAGGAACAATATTTTGTAAAAATTTCCCGTTTTTTGTCAATTTCATACATCAATTGGATAATAAACATAAAATTTTCGCAATGGCTGACAAGATGCTTCATCGACGTAGCTTTAAAATATGGCGGAGTTGGTAGTTAAACTGATATTTACTTAATTTAACGAAAGAAAAAGGAATCATCACCTAAAATTACCAAGCACAACCTAAAAGGCGGAGATACAACCATTTTGGACCACACTTGAGACGTTAAGGATCCGACCTCAGTTTTGGTTCCTTGAAAATTACCAAAGACGACGACAACATAACCCAAGATAAGCTTATATTTACATTGATTTGAATTTACTGTTGGGAAACAGTTGAAATTATTTAATTCTATTTTATTTTTCGTGCTGTGCTGTGTGTGCTTATTTTTAGATGGATCATTGCGCTATGGCAAAGATAATCCTACTCCGAGAAGGATTATCTATGATTGTGGGCAACTTTCCCAGTTAAAGCTTCAATCAACAGTTTTGCTTTTTTCTATAAAAATTAGCGGTGTGCCCATAGGCCTGTTTGACTGACATTTCAAAACCAAGAAAATATATTACTATTACAACAAAATTGGAGATCAAAAATTATTGATCGACTTTGTGTTTTTGTCTTTAGTAAACAGCGATAAGGTAGAGAAGTCATGTTGTCTAACCTCCGACTCTTTATAACCTTAATTGTATACCAATGCCAACGTTGTATCCAACAACAATTTAGCAAACAACTTTGGTTTTCTTTTAACTACATTTAAAGTATACGAATAAAGACGTCTAACCGTGGTCGATATTGGTTGGATATACATTATAGCTGAAAGAACGCCCGTCAAAAGTTAACGTTCGCTCAACGTCGCGAGCTGTACCATAAAAAACTAAACACTCGACAACCTCTGACCTATGTTGACTAAAGCTACCATAAATGTCTGACGTTAAGTTAGCGTCGGCTGAAGGTCGGTAGTAACTTTGACTGAAAAGTTGATAAGTGACCTAAATTTCTACCAATTACAACGTCGGAATTAGTGAAAATCTAGTCGTGAGTCGGAAAAATGCTTCTTGAGAAATTTCATGCAGTATAAATCAAAATCTAATAATTGTTATATAGGATAAATAAATCCTATTGAAAAGCTACGTTCTCAGATTTTTATTATTTTTATTTTTGTGTTTT